TTGACTCCTTATCTCGCTGATAATGTCTATGCCTTATTTTATGAACGGTTGTGTTGGCTACCTGTTCTGTTCTGTACAGCACTTTGGTCACATGGGTTGTTTTTTAAGGTGCTTCATAAATACATGTGATTGATTGATTGAGGTGTGTGAAGGTGCATTAGTTGAATCTAACTGACGGTGTGTTCAGGTGCTGCCGGGCCGCGGCTCTTCACCATCCATNAAGCTGTTTTTTAGCAGAGGAAATCGGAAATGATTGACTCATCGTACATCACCCATTGGTTTTTGGAATACTGTTTTTAAAGTTCACCTAGTATGCAAAATCCACTTTTTCATGTATTTTATAACACGTGTCCCCTCTGAGTAAAGAGATTCTGAAAGTTTCAGGAAAAAAGATTCTCTCTTTTTGTCCTGATCCATTTATATAAAAACCTGTCTGAAAATGAGCTGATCAGATTTTGGCCACTTTATGATGTCATCAACCATTTATGATGTGTAACCATTAGCCAATAACCAACCAAGGTAACCCCACCACCACCTTATCACCTGAATCTCCTCCTAGAGCACCATTGTGTTCTTTCTAACCAAATATCTCTCAGAGGGGCATGGGGAGTGGCTCCTTATTTTCATCTAAAGTAACAGACTGAGAATCAGCACTTTGGAAACAGGGCTGAAACAGAGGGGATTATGCGATGCTGCAATGATCTGTTTGGTGTTTGGAGCCAAACACTTCAGAGAAATGTTCTGTATCTGAGACCTATAATATATTGATGAAAAACAGCATAATAGGGGACCTTTAAGCTTTGAATTAGCCTTTTTAGCCGCTTTAATCTAGATTTGTTTTATCCAGCAGTGACATCAAAGGGTGGAGCTTAATACTACTCATAAACTGACAAGGTTAAAGATGAAAACAAGCAACCAATACAACACTGTTGTAGCGACCTGTCAATCAGAAGGTAGCCACACCCTAAACCAAACACCTCTTTAATTTAAATGGGATCGAAACGTAAATTAACATCTGCTAAATTGAAGATCACTTGATATTAAATTTGTCAGAAAAATGTTTACTGAATCTGCTAGAGGTGTCAATCAGCTGTTCTCTACTGTTTTTCACACACCTTTCAGCCTGTAACATTTTTCTCAATCTTTCTTCCTTTACACCCTCCTTAGTTAGCTGACTTCCCCTCAAGATTTAAAAGCTTTTCAGGGCCTGGAGGTATTAGATTAAAGTGTAAAGTGGATTCCTTGGCGAATCGATTGAGGTGTAACTGTCCTAGGGCTTCTCAGATACTGCAGTCTAATGTGTTAGACCCTACACACACACACACACAGGTGTTTTCCTCTTCTGGCTGACGAGGCCTTGGTCCGGCAGAGACTTGGAAATGATCAAGTTTGTTATATGAAAATATGGGACTGCAACTGGAATCTTTGTTGGATATGAAACAAAATGTCCTTAGGAAATATGAATTATTTCTGACAGTTGTATTGGAGCTGCCTTTTAAGAGGACATATGATGCTCATTTTCAGGTTCATTTTAGTAGTTCAAAAAGCTCTTTAGTGTTCTCATACTGCCTGTGCTGCAGCACCTCTTTTCACCCTCCGTCTGAAACCACGATTGTTAGGTAGTGATGTCACTATGTTATGGAAGTAAACAAAGGAGTCCAATGGAGGTGTTTCAGGCAGGGGGGGAGTGTGTGGGAGAGAAGCTCCTTCTGGAGGGAACTATGGGATTTTAGCTTTTGCACACAAACCATATAACACACTACAGGAAAGGGAAAACTCCAAAAAGCAGAATAGGGCCCCTTTAATTTATTCTACAGCTCTGTAAGAAATGAAGAGACCCCTGCAAAATGATCAGTTTTTCTTGTTTTACTATTTATAGGTATGCGTTAGTAAAAGTAAAATAAAAAATATACCTTTTATTCTTTAAACTACTTCAATTTAACAGACGCTGGAATGGAATGGCTGCCATACATGAAGAGATTGAGATTTAAGAAACATTTGGAGAGTTCTCTTAATTTTAGCAGAGCTGTATAGAGACTTGTTTGTTTTGTGCCGCTGCCCCTTTATAAAAAACAAACATTGGTATGATGTTTTTCTTTTAATGCAAGTGTGTGTTCCGTTAAATGAGCAAAGTTGCAGACGTTTGCTAACCAATCAATTTCCAGTCCAAGAAGTCCCTGCATCATCAGAATTGGCAGAAAGTGAGCTTACAGCATGAGCATGAAGGCTTAATTGAAAATAAAGTGCTCATAATAGCAGTGTCGTCCTCCGCCCCCCCCCACACACACACACACGTTCCCCCCTCCCTCCATTTATTCTGTTTACTGCACCTTTTAAGCACATCTATCATCAGCCCAATCAATTTGAGCTGTTATTCAAGTGTAGCTACCCTTCAGAGGGTCATCCCTTATCAGATCTCTTTCCAAAAGCTGTCTCGTTTGTTCTCCCAACCGCCTGGACATTAATTCATGTATCGTTATACGCCCAGCTCAACAAAAAAAGTCAAGGGAATTGAAGCCGTCAATCTACGAGAAGTAAGTTTTTCAGATTTTCACATTTCGTTCCATGTGTGTGAGGAGGAGTCTGATAAGTAAGGCCCATATTGTTTATATGGTGTGATATCATAAGAAGAGAGATCACATTATGTCAATTACTGATATCTGCATGATCTTTCGGGAGTGTTTTGTCAATATTTGACTATGAGCAGTCAGGAGTTGCTGACTGATTCATGAAGCAGGAGGGAAATGTTTTGTGCAGGCAATGCAAAAACTACCAAGTAATTGCTTTTCCTGCAGTATTTTCTCCCTGTGTACAATCTAGAGCTTCCTGATTAGCATTGATAACGGCATTTATAAATAATCACCATATATCCTGATTTATGCGCACACAGCACAAGAGAGCAGTTTCATTGGGTTGGGCAGTGTTCAGGTTGTGTGAGAGCTCAGAGACAGCTCCTCTCACACAGATTGAATTGAAGTAGTAAAATGTGTTTAACAGTTTATTTGGTGAGTGCATGAATAAATCAAATCCTGCTACTCGGCAAGACCAGCACAAAGCATGAACATGTGGAGAAAGATGGTTTCAGTTCTTCGAATTAGACTAATTTCACAGATGCATAAAATACATTATAACCAAAGGAGGTAAACATAGTCAGATCTATTACTTAAGTATAAGTAATAATACTTTACTGTAAAAGTACTGCATTTAATATGGTACACAAGAAAAAGTATGTAAGTATGAGGAGAATATACTTAAAGTATAAGGAGTAAAAGTACCCATTGCAGAAACAAACAAAAAATAAAAGCAGCAGAACTTAATTTTTGCGAAGCTGGAACTATAACACGTTTTATTCACCAAAAAGTACCTAAACAATCAGCAAATGGCAGCCAATAAATAATAATAATAGCGGTTCTGAAAGGGTGAGTTTTGAATTCTGATTTGAACATGGTGAGATGCGACGGAGAAGGCTTTGTCTCAGAATAATTGTTTTAGGTCTTACTTAATTATATCGTTGGATAGTTTAATCTACATCAAACATCATATTTTAAAGGTTATTCATATGGCTGTGTGTAAAAATCTGGATCTTTAAAGTAAATAGAGCTATAAAATAAATGCAGTTGGGAAAAAGTTCAAATATATCCCTTTTAATTGCAGGAGAGTAAGTACAGTACTTGAGTAAATGTACTAATAGTTACTCTCCACCACTGATTATAACATTGATGTTAAACCCCTATGACAAACCCAAATACAATGATGTGCTTGCTAGTTTCCTTCTTATGGACAAGAATGCATCTGTGTATTACACTTAACACTGTTTATAGGCGACATGTGCATATATTACTAATTAGTTAACAAATACCAGTCTGCATTTCATTTCTGTTAAATACATTATTTTTACTATACTGCGGAAAAATCTACTTTCCCTTACTCAAAGAAAACTAACATGATAATAAAAACATCAGCATATTATATTTTAAAACAGCATTGATCTTCTCTGTGTATGTCACATGAAATCAATCCCTTTTGAGTTCCTGTATCGTTGCTGACTCCTTGTTCAAAGGGTGTGTCAAACATTTCAACCAATCAGATTTGAGATGATGATCAGCTGATCGACAGAGCAACATAGAGCAAGGTGTTCAAGTGTGTCACTTTCAAAACATGTCCACTTCCTAAAGGGTTCTGGATGTGGATAATGAATATGTGAAAACTTTTAGGTACGTATGTTTACTCGACAGAGGAAAATGACAATCTCTCTTCTGGTTAAACTTGCTAACTGAATGCTTGAAATAAAAAACTATATCTAAATGCAAATATGCTAACATTGGTTCATAATGGCATTGGATATGTTTGACCTATACAGTATAAAGCGTACATTATTGCTCATTCATAGTCATAGAAGTCTGACTGAAATTGAGTTTCCCATAGGAATGAACTCTTGTTTGACTCGCGTGCATACTAAGTTAAGCAAACGGAAGAAGTTCTTTGATATTTTGCTTGAGTAAAAGTATCAATACTACATTCTTAAAATACTCTACAAGTAAAGGTCCCACATTCAAATGTTATTCAAGTAAAAGCAAGAAACTATTGGCATCAAAGTATAATTCAAGTACAAAAAGAGTACTCATTAAGCAGTACGG